GATATTGTGATAAAAATGCTAGCTTACTTTGTGTTCCAGAAGACAGGAAATGTTTAAAACCACATGATGGAGAGTAAATGGTAAGCTCATTTTAATATTTAGGGTAAACATCCATTTCATGCTTGCCAGTTTGCCTTTATACTAAAGTTCACTTTTTTGTTCTTTTTTGAAGACCTGATGGTGCTGAAAGAAGAGACACATCAATGGAGTGAAATAGAAGAGAAACAACAAGAAATAATGAGTGATGAAAAACCCACACTCACTAAAAAGACTTCATCACACAGAAAACCTCGGAAATCCAAGTCTAGGTGTAATTTCAGCTGTAAACAGAGTAGAAAGAGTTTCAGTCAAAAGCCAAACCTTGACCACACTAGGGAGAAACCTTACACCTGCAAACAGTGTGAAAAAAGCTTCTATAATACAGGAAACTTAAAAGTGCACATGAGAATTCACACTGGAGAGAGGCTGTACGCATGCCAACAGTGTGGAAAAAGCTTCTATTCTTCAGGAAACTTGGCAGTGCACAGAAGAATTCACACTGGGGAGAGGCTCTATTCTTGCCCTCAGTGTGGAAAGAGTTGTAAGCAAAATGGCAACCTTGAAGTCCACATGAAAACTCACACTGGAGAGAGAAGCTTTATTTGTACACAGTGTGGGAAAGGTTTTTCTCAAAAACAAAACCTTACCATCCACATGAGGATTCACACTGGAGAGAAACCTTACACATGCACAGAGTGTGGTAAAAGGTTCCCACATAAAGGCTCACTCAAACACCACATGATAACTCACACCGAACAGAAGCCGTTTGCATGTGCTCAGTGTGGAAAGAGCTTCACAACCAAAGCTAGAATCATGAATCACACGAATGGTCATACTGGAACCACAGTGTTTACATGTGATCATTGTGGAAAGAGTCTCTCATGCAAAGACTCCATAAAGCAACACATGAAGATTCACTCAGGCGAGCGTTTTCGATGCAGTGAGAGTGGAAAGGTCTTCAAACATAAAAGATGCCTCGTCAATCACATGAAGCTTCACAATGGAGAGGAAAAAATGAGGCCTTGTCCAGCAGAGCTTAAGGCTTTCCTGGGATAGCATGGGATAGCATCTCGGGACAAGTGTGAACTCCTGAATACATCTCAAGTTACTGGAATGAAACCCTTTGAACCTGAAGATTTAAACTCAATAACTGAAGAGGGGTGAAGATGTGCCAGGTTGTGAGAGTTTCTACAGGGCTGCAAGAAAGTAAAATAACTCTATATGTGTTTCAAGTTATTATGAACTGAAAACCAAATTTGTGCACATTGCACACTGCAATCAAATGGTCGGCACTGAAAAGAGAATTAGAAAGATTAGGGAGGAGAAAATGTTTGGGGATATGCAGGGTAAACTGTCCTACACCCTTAGATTGTGTTTTTGATTATTCACATTGTTTGATTTTCACTCCCTTGAACAAACACCGATTTGCCTCCAATTTTGGGCTTTTGTCTGCAGTTTCACAAAACATGTTGGTGAATGAAAGTCCACCTAAACTCGGCCGGTGTGAACTTGCAATGACAGTTAGAGACTGATGCAGACTCCATAAAGCCCTGTTCAGACTACACAATGCCATTTGCCAGTTACCACAGATCAGATTTTTGTCAGATTATGAGATTTTGACTTGATAAACTCTTGATGTGTTGTGGGTACAAATGGAGACTTTGGTTTCAAAACACTACACTTTTATTTTGATGGACATATTTTAGAAAATAAACAAGTTTTCTTCATGAAGACAATTAAACTTTCTATGGACAACTAGTTTCCCTTAAAGAAATGTTCATGTGAAAACTCCCACATTACTACAAATAAATCAGTGTATGGGAAACCCAGTGTCTCTATTGTGAATGAGAACATAAGTGATTTGTTAGCTTACATGCTAATTCCAGTACTCATTAGACTACTGAAGGACTTCAGCTATCTGTAAATTCCAAATATTATTTATATGCATTACATATTGTACTACTCATGTGCACTGATAGATTATATTGTGTGCTGTCTGCAAGTGGTGTGTGTGTGTAGGTTATAGTTTTAGGTTTATTGTGTTAAAGGTAAATTATTTTAAGAGTAACAAGTTATTTAATTATTAACATTCTGATTGTTCCTATATATATATATATATATATATATATATATATATATATATATATATATATATATATATATATATATATTAGGGATGCACCGATATGTATAGGCCGATATTTATAAATATTTCAAAATGATATATTTTTATACAGCAAACTTCATAAAAGATTGAACTTCTTTTATGAACTAAATAGTCTATACTCAAAGCAAAATAGCTTTAACTTCAAAATTGCAAGGTGATTATAGACCTATATTCAAGATTTCACATAAATCAGCATGCAAAAAATACATTACTTCCTTTTCTTCATAGCAAATTAACATGCAACTTGACTGTTGCATAAAATTAAGAAGGTTAAATAACAAAATATGATTTATTCAACAAGCAAATTAAATATATTTAAATAAGATGAGAATGAAAGCACTAAGGACTGAAACCAGCTCAAATGTTCTTGAATAAAACGTGTTACAGTGATGTACACATGTACAAATACGTCATGTACGAAAAAGCCTTTTTTAGAGGTGTTTTGAAAGTTCAGAGCCACCGTACAAGTAAATAGCTTACAGATAGTACGTTTAGAAAATGCGGCACAGATTCATGCTATTTGGCGTTTTAGATTCTTTCGAACATGTAGCTGCTGCTTGTCAATCAGATGCGTCTGCGCTCGTTCTTGCTGTCAATTGCGGGGGGAAAATGATCGATGAAAAGTTTATGATAAACCGCTGAGTTTTACTCAACTGTAGAGGAAGAGTTGCCATCAGAGTCAGATTTTCATACAAAACCTGCATTGAGCTGACTTTATGGCTAACAGAGCTGAATATAAAGACAGAATGAGCCGCTGGTCGAGAGCCTCTATGACTGGATTCACCTCTCCCCGCGCTCGTCATAATCAATATGAATATTTCGATCAAACTGAATACATCTTACATCAACAACACATGACAAGCAACGTGTTGATAATAACAAATAATCAGATTACAAACAACTGTTTACACTTGTTGTAAAATGGAGTAATAAGTTAAGATCCCCTGCTATCTCTACACAACAAAGAGACAGAGCTGGAAAGGTTTACATAGTTAATATTTTTCCTGAGGCGATTTAAAGCAAAATACACAATGACACTCAATCAAACACATCTACAATGATAAGGAACATGGTTACTTACTGACTTATTAACGCACAGCAATACCACTTGAAGAAATGACAGACTTTGAAGGAATAAACAGTGTGAAGAGAGATCCATTATAGTGCAGTGGGCAAGTCTGAACAAGTTCCGCCCACGCGTGCGCAGCACGCAAGTCTGTACAATTACGTAATTTATCGGCTTAAAGATATCAGCCGAATTTAGACATCGAATCGATAACGATAGTCCTAAAAATAGCATTTATCGGCCGATACCGATATGGCCGCCAATATATTGTGCATCCCTAATATATATATATATATATATACTATTACTAACCAGCAATGATAGGTGAGCAAAATAAAAATTGAAAGAGGATACTTTTATTAGGCCTTTCATGAGTCTAATAATCTCAAAGTCACACTTAAAAAGAAGGTCCAAAAACCTGCATTTATAAATGAAGAATGTTTTGCAAAGCATAAAAGGTTGTTAACCAGGTAATGCTGTGTACAATTTGTTTTAGTTACACCAAATTTAACTTGTTTATTGTAAAAAGGGTTTAAATGGATATTGACATGAGACATTCTGTATTATGCATTACGTATTATGAGTCATGAGTAGGGCCAGAAAGAATCTGTCAACGTTTTTTGCTATTTCTGCGAAGAATATTGATAAAAATCTGTGGATTTCTGCCAAAATATTTTGGGAGTATCATAACTAAAACCTAAATATGTGAAACAAAAAATATTATCTTTTAAACTTTTATTTAATGTTTAAAATGCAAATCCAATTAGATACACTTTATTTGATAAACAAAGCAAGTCACTCATATAATATTTCTACTAAAAGACAAAAAAATATTACTGTAAAAACTGCATTGTACATAAATCAGATAAACATTTTCATATTAGTCAATAATATTACTGTATTTAATTTAAAAAGTGAATAAATATATATTTACACAAGTAAATAAAATAGAATTAATGATCTGCTCGACATTATGTGTTATGAGTCATGTACATGAGTATATGCAATTGTATAAACATGCTCAGTGTTTTCAATAACTTTCACAAAATTGACAAGTTCTCCTCAGTATCAACTTTTAATCTCAGGAATTCTTTTGATGGAGACACATCATTAATCATTTTAACTGAAGTTCTTTAATTTTGGGGAGAATTAGAAAAGAAATGTAACTTTCTTATTTTTCTAATTCCTGTGAATTAAATTATTTTAAAATAAACAAGGTCTGAGCTGATTATATGACCACGGGTATGCTCAGTCCAGAAAGACTAGGACCTCCATGCAAAAATGAATGGCCTATCATCCGGCCATCCATCTGGAACAGGTTGCTGTCCAGTAGTACAGCAGATGCAGAAGGTACACGGTGGTTTTTTTCCCCCTCAAAAAAGGCTGTAGTAGATGAACCTAAAAAATCCAATCAGTAAGAATTAACTAATAGTACTAGTTGTATAAAATCTGTAACAGCCCAAAAGCAAAAGAGACATAAAACATCAAATCACATCTGTAAAATTCTAAACAAATGTTTTCTCTGTATGCACTGTGGTGGTACCAGTCAGCATCGATCTGCATTGCCCACCAGTAAATAGAAGATAATGTTATGAACATTTTACATCTTATCAGGTGTGCAAAAGGCTTCTCAAGTACAGTGCACGAAATCATACAGAAAAAGGTCAGGGTTACAGGCAGTGTTGACGAAAATTAACTTTATATATATATGTATATATGTGTGTGTGCGTGTGTGTGTGTGTGTGTGTGTGTGTGCACATGTAACCGAACTGCAACCAATTACAAACCCAAATTTAAAGTGAAGCCAGTCTTCAGTTTTTGCATCATCATTGACAAAATATGGCGGTTAACTCCCTTGCCACAACAGCTGCATCTCCTAAAAAAAAATACAAAATGAAGCAAGTTCGTTGCACAAACTGTACAGACTATAAGCGATTCAAATGATTTTAATAATAAAAAAGGAGTACCAGTCAATCTATATTTCAATGGAGTGGACCAATTAGCACTGTTCATTTTATAAAATGAAACCAGGGTACTATCTTGTTCATCCATAGTATCAAACTGGTTGATGAGTAATGATAGAGATGGACAGTGTGAATTGATGGAGAGCAACTCATCACAGAACATTCGAGATGATTTGAATGGGTCAATTTCATTTTTCCATGCTGAAATCAAATGAACAATTTATCTAAATACCATTTTACAAGCATAGTTGAATAACAATACAAAAAAGATGAAAGAATAAATGAATAAAGATGCACTTATCATTTTACAGTACAACAGCACTAAAAAAAAATTAAATGTGTTGTGTCTAACCTGCAGACAGGGATGTTGAAGATTGTGCAGTTGAGGGTCCTGGCAATTCTTCTGTATTTAAAGTGAATGAAGAATCATTGTCACCAAAAGTCCTTTCTCTAAAACAGGCAAGACACAAACAATTTCAATTTTGTTCATTAAGCCACTTCAAAAATTTTCATGCATATTAAAAGCATTTGCCCAGTTTCATAGACAAGGCTTAGACCCTAGTGCCAGACAAAGTCTGGATGTAACTTACAATGACATACTGTTTATAGTCATTAATGTCAAAAGTCACCAGTAATGATTTTCTCAAAGCAAGGCTTATAAAAGCTGCATACATCAAATCTAATAATGTCTACTACTGACCCAGTTTATGAAACCAACACATTAATTTAAATTTAAGACAGTCCACCAGAAAATTATTTTGTTAATTTTTTACCCTACATTCCATCTGATCTTTGTACATCTCCCTCGAGATATATACAACCAAAACAAACTGTGCAAACTAATCCTTTAGTATTAAAGGCATGTCATCCTACAATTTTTAGCATAACTTTACCCTTCACCACACATGCTTGCATGAAAAGGCAAGACATCAGTTGGGAAAGAGATCTGGCAAATTGGACAAATCTGTAAAAAGTAAAAATAAATTAAACAATGTTTGTAGCAAATTTGTTGAAGAACATACATATTCTACCCCATAAAAAGATTCTAAAATATTAAGAATAGTCTCAAATTTTTAATAGCTTCAAACACATTCTTTATGGAACCACAAATTGGGTATATTCAAATATAGTGAGTATACCCAAATACAAGAAATAGGCTTTGATCAAAGACCTGTAATGATGGTTCTAAGATGGGGTGAAGTGAGCTTGGCTGGTCAACAGTTTCGATTACATTTTCGTCTACATCATCATCTAGAATGGTCATATCATTTGAAGACTCCTAATAAAAGTAATCAAAATGCATTGGCATTGTAAATAAATAATATTGATAGAAAAATAAAACCATAATACTGTATGACTTACTGTCTCAGCTTCTTTACACTCTTCAATGTGTAAGGGCAGCAATGGCAGTGGTATTTTCTTACCACATTTCATACAGCTGGACTGTGGCATCTTAGCAAACTCCACAGAATCATAAGGTAATGGTTCAGTGGAAAGCTGTTCCTGTAATGGAACTACAAACAGCATGTTCTTTCCATTATTTGACACTGATTTTAGGAGTCGAGTTGAGTATCCATCAGCATCTGTGGGAATTATAGACAGCTTACGCCGCCCACCACCACCTAATGGCAAAATCAATTGAGAATCACATTCAGGACTACTGTTGCCTTCTTGGGCTAGCAATATTGTTATAAATGTGTCACCTAAAATTTTGGACAGAAATGTTCTATAAAGCTCTGTTTACCACTGGAAAACTGAAGTAGGGCATGCCATAATCTTAGAACATGGCAGAGAAACATGTCCTTGACTAAAAAGTTTAAACTAATGAAGCTTATTACTAAATTATTAACGCCAACAAAGCACATACCAGTTTCATTAATTTACAAAAGTGCAAAGTTATTGCAAATGCACACAAATCATTTTTTGTTTATATGTAACATGCAAAACATAAATACCTGTAGACTGTAAAACATCCAGCCACCCTGAAGTGTTTTTAATTTGGGAAACTCTCCTTCAAGCAGACTGACAATCTTAAGAATGAAACAAAATTCATCATTTAGTTTTTTTTTTTTTTTTTCCAACAGATATAAAACTCCCATCAATTCCTAGTATTATAGTAACATTTGCAATTACCTCACTGTGTTTAAAATTATCTGGAACAGTTAAAAGCCTTTTTCCAAGTCCAGCATGGACAAGCTCAAGGTCTTCATCTCCTTTTGATGTGAAGGGTGTGGGTTCAGAGAGGACATGGATTTGAAAATCAGTTTTTTTAATGTTTCCAGGTTTGGCCACAGAAAAATCTCTGTCCCAAACATACTTGGGAATTGCCTATAGTGACAAAAGGGCAAAATGAATAAACATATTAATAATAAGAAACATTTTTTGCATGACACAAAAAGTTGTGTTTTACAGTAAACATGAAAAATTACCTTTTTAAGGCTTGCCTTACCATGTTTTCAGGCTCTGCAGGCAAAGGAATGGTCCCACTTGAGATGCTTTCTCTCATTGGTCTACTACCACTAGCTAGTGCATTTCTTTACAAAGATGGAGTAAGGCCCCTGGCTAATACATCGATCAGAGCTTTTGCTGCTATTTCTACTTCTGATGACAGTGCCTGTAAGACAAATACCAATTATACCTTTTATCATTTGTTATCTTCATAGTCCGCGATCAACACTGCCGACCCCCACCCCGCCCGTTCCTTACAGTCGGCGATCATCTCCTCTCTCCACCCCCCATACCCACCCACACCCAAAACGGCATTACGCTCTCCCGGTCTTCACTTTAGTACGCGATCGATTCCACCTCCAAATTAGTCCTTGATCAAATTTATAGCTGAGCTCCCTTGAATGACAATCCTAGAATCGACCATGACAGAAGCCATGCTATTTTACACGACCATCCCGTTCTTCACTCGCCATGTTGGCTTTATAACGGACTTAATTTACGTTATAAAGTTTACATTATAAACAACAGCAGCCATTGCTTTAACAAACGTTTGATACTTAATCTTTGCATACATAAACCACTATAGAAATCAAGTAACCACTTACCCGCGCATCCCGCTCTTCACCTGCCATGCTAAATAGAGGAGTATTCTTCTTCTTAGAGGATCATCTCCGTTAATTAGGTCAGACTGCGCAAATGGAGCGCACAGTGAAGCGCTTCGGTCATTCCCACGTTCTCAGGGAGTTGTGATTGGTTGAACAGTAAGCTCGCATCTTATTGGCTACAGGGCACGAGTGACTCACGTGGGAGGTGTGTGCTGACAGGAAAGTCTCAAAAATGCACACACTCGTATTCAGGGTGAGTCGTACGTGAGAGAGGATTTGCACATTCTCATTCAGGATGAACTCGTGAATTTTAAACATTCAAAACTTTTTGTACACTCTTATATATTTGCAAATGGTGTTTTGCATTTGTGAAATGTATTTTATGAAAATGTATTTTTATTTTGTGCATGTGAATTGTTTTTGTGAGTATAAATAAATATTTTACGCATGTGAATTTGGCTACGCATGTGTACATCGTGTCTTTTGCGTGACTTATTATTGAGTCTAATCTCTCTCCATAGAAAAACACTTTTTATCAGATCTGGACTCCGTTGCTTGAATATGTAGGTCCTAGGATTTCAGGTACATTTTTGCAAAACCTTAGATCACCATAAACTTTGGTTAATTTATGTACTTTTCTATTTTTATTATTACTCTGTATTTTTATGTCTTCTTTTTGATTTTGATTTTCATTATGTGCTGTGATGCTAAGAAATTTCTTGGTTGTAAGCTGTTGTCATTGTTCTGTTCTTTTTTGTTTTGTTAAAATAAAGACAAAAAAATGTATTTCGAAGAATTCCAGTTTGTCAGCAGCTAGTGTCGGCGCATAAAACATTCCTTTGCATAGTGGTTTGGTTGTCTAGGAGTATGATTCTCATTCATGCCGTGAGAAATCCCAGCTGATAGTGTTGCCATATAAAGTTGCTGTTTTGCAGTGGCTCGTTGATCTAGGGGTATGATTCTCGCTTAGGGTGCCCTTGATTCGTTAGAGAAAGTTTTCTGACTATCTGATGCTTCTGACAGCATGTGAAATAAAATCAATTTAGTGGCTCGTTGGTCTAGGGGTATGATTCGCGCATTGGGTGTGAAAGGTCCTGGTTTCAAATCCCGGACGAGCCCTTGCAGATGTTGTGTGTTTTATAGGGCACTATGTCTATCATTAAAATGTCTTTCGAAGACTGCTGTTTTGCAGTGGCTCGGTCGTCTAGGGGTATGATTCTCACTTAGGGTGCCCTTGATTCGTTAGGGAAAGATTTCTGACTATCTGACGCCTTGTGAAATGCTCTCAATTTAGTGGTTCATTGGTCTATCTGTATGATTCTCGCTTCGATCGCGAGAGGACCCGGGTTCAATTCTCGGATGAGCCCTTGCAGGTGTACTGTGTTTTACAGGGCATTATATCTTTCGTAAAAACGTCTTTCAAAGAATTCCAATTTGTCAGCAGATAGTGTCGCCACATAAAATATTTCTTGCATAGTGGCTTGCTGGTCTAGGAGTATGATTCTCGTTCATGCCATGAGAAATCCTAGGTTCAAATTTCAGTTGAACCCTTACAGTTGTCTGCTGTTTTGTAAGGGCGTTGTGGCTTACACAGAGGCCTTTTTCTGAGAATGCCGGTTTGTCAGCAGATAGTGTTGCCATGTAAAGTTACTGTTTTGCAGTGGCTCGTTGGTCTAGGGGTATGATTCTGGCTTAGGGTGCCCTTGAATCGTCAGAGAAAGTTTTCTGACTATCTGATGCTTCTGACGCCATGTGAAATTTTATTACAGTAGTGGCTCGTTGGTCTAGGGGTGGGATTCTCGCTTTGGGTGTGAGAGGTCCCGGGTTCAAATCCCAGACGAGCCCTTGCAGGTGTCATGTGTTTTACAGGGCACTATGACTTTCATTAAAATGTCTTTCGAACAATTCCAGTTTGTCAGCAGATAGTGTCGCCACATAAAACATTCCTTTGCATAGTGGCTTGCTGGTCTAGGAGTATGATTTTCGTTCATGCAATGAGAAATCCCGTATTCAAATTTCGGTTGAGCCCTTACATTTGTCTGCTGTTTTGTAAGGTCTACGGGCTTACACAGAGGCCTTTTTTCTGAGAATGCCAGTTCATCAGCAGATAGTTTTGCCATGTAAAGTGGCTGTTACAGTAGCTAGTTGGTTTAGGGGTATGATTCTCGCTTAGGGTGCCATTGATTCGTTAGAGAAAGGTTTCTGACTATCTGATGGTTCTGACGCCATGTGAAGTTTTATCAATGTAGTGGCTCGTTGGCCTAGGGGTATGATTCTCGCTTTGGTTGAGAGAGGTCCCGGGTTCATATCCTGGACGAGCCCTTGCAGGTATCATGTGTTTTACAGGGCACTTTGACTTTCATTAAAATGTCTTTCGAAGAATTCCAGTTTGTCAGCAGATAGTGTCGCCACATAAAACATTCCTTTCTATAGTGGCTTGCTGGTCTAGGCGTATGATTTTCGTTCATGCAATGAGAAATCCCAGATTCAGATTTCGGTTGAGCCCTTACACTTGTCTGCTGTTTTGTAAGGTTGTTGTGGCTTACACAGAGGCCTTTTTTCTGAGAATGCCAGTTTGTCAGCAGATAGTGTTGCCATATAAAGTTGCTGTTTTGCAGTGGCTCGGTGGTCTAGGGGTATGATTCTCACTTAGGGTGCCCTTGATTCGTTAGAGAAAGATTTCTGACCATCTGACGTCTTGTGAAATTCTCTCAATTTAGTGGCTCATTGGTCTATGGGTATGATTCTCGCTTCGGTTGCGAGAGGACCCGGGTTCAGTTCCTGGATTAGCCCTTGCAGGTGTACTGTGTTTTACAGGGCATTATGTCTTTCGGAAAAACGTCTTTCAAAGATTTCCAATTTGTCAGCAGATAGTGTCGCCACATAAAATATTTCTTGCATAGTGGCTTGCTGTTCTAGGAGTTTGATTCTCGTTCATGTCATGAGAAATCCTAGGTTCAAATTTCAGTTGAACCCTTACAGTTGTCTTTTGTTTTGTAAGGGCGTTGTGGCTTACACAGAGGCCTTTTTTCTGAGAATGCCGGTTTGTCAGCAGATAGTGTTGCCATGTAAAGAGGCTGTTTTGCAGTTGCTCGTTGGTCTACGGGCATGATTCTCGCTTAAGATGCGAGAGGTCTCGTTTTCAAATCCTGGACGAACCATTGCAGAAGTCCCGGGTCCAAATGAAGCAAAAGCCCTGCTTCAATGTTTGTTAGATAAGGATTTCTGACCATCTGTTGCTTCAGCTGTCTTGTAAAATATTCAAGCTTTTCTGGCTCGTTGGTCTAGGGGTATGATTCTCGCTTAGGGTGCGAGAGGTCCCGGGTTCAGATCCCGGACGAGCCCTTGCAGTTATTCTTTTGTTTTACAGGGCATTATGGCTTTCATAAAAAATGTTTGTCGAAGAATTCCAGTTTGTCAGCAGATAGTGTCGGCACATAAAGCATTCCTTTGCATAGTGGTTTGGTTGTCTAGGACTATGATTCTCGTTCATGCCGTGAGAAATCCCAGATACAAATTTCGGTTGAGCCCTTACAGTTGTCTGCTGTTTTGTAAGGGCGTTGTGGCTTACACAGAGGCCTTTTTTCTGAGAATGCCTGTTCGTCAGCTGATAGTGTTGACATATAAAGTTACTGTTTTGCAGTGGCTCGTTGGTCTAGGTGTATGATTCTCGCTTCGGGTGTGAGAGGTCCCGGGTTCAAATCCCGGACGAGCCCTTACAGGTGTTATGTGTTTTACAGGGCACTATGTCTTTCATTAAAATGTCTTTCGAAGAATTCCAGTTTGTCAGCAGATAGTGTCGCCACATAAAACAATCCTTTGCATAGTGGCTTGCTGGTCTAGGAGTTTGATTCTCGTTCATGCCATGAGAAATCCTAGGTTCAAATTTCAGTTGAACCCTTACAGTTGTCTTTTGTTTTGTAAGGGCGTTGTGGCTTACACAGAGGCCTTTTTTCTGAGAATGCCGGTTTGTCAGCAGATAGTGTTGCCATGTAAAGTGGCTGTTTTGCAGTTGCTCGTTGGTCTACGGGCATAATTCTCGCATAAGGTGCGAGAGCTCCCGTTTTCAAATCCTGGACGAACCATTGCAGAAGTCCCGGGTCCAAATGAAGCAAAAGCCCTGCTTCAATGTTTGTTAGATAAGGATTTCTGACCATCTGTTGCTTCTGATGTCTTGTGAAATATTCAAACTTTTGTGGCTCGTTGGTCTAGGGGTATGAATCTCGCTTAGGGTGTGAGAGGTCTCGGGTTTAAATCCCAGACGAGTTCTTGCAGTTATTCTGTTGTTTTACAGGGCACTATGTCTTTCATTAAAATGTCTTTCGAAGAATTCCAGTTTGTCAGCAGATAGTGTCGCCACATAAAATATTTCTTGCATAGTGGCTTGCTGTTCTAGGAGTTTGATTCTCGTTCATGCCATGAGAAATCCTAGGTTCAAATTTCAGTTGAACCCTTACAGTTGTCTTTTGTTTTGTAAGGGCGTTGTGGCTTACACAGAGGCCTTTTTTCTGAGAATGCCGGTTTGTCAGCAGATAGTGTTGCCATGTAAAGTGGCTGTTTTGCAGTTGCTCGTTGGTCTACAGGCTTGATTCTCGCATAAGGTGCGAGAGGTCCCGTTTTCAAATCCTGGACGAACCATTGCAGAAGTCCTGGGTCCAAATGAAGCAAAAGCCCTGCTTCAATGTTTGTTAGATAAGGATTTCTGACCATCTGTTGCTTCAGATGTCTTGTGAAATATTCAAGCTTTGTGGCTCGTTGGTCTAGGGGTATGATTCTCGCTTAGGGTGCGAGAGGTCCTGGGTTCAAATCCTGGACGAGCCCTTGCAGTTATTTTGTTGTTTTGCAGGGCATTATGGCTTTCATAAAAAACATTTTTCGAAGAATTCCAGTTTGTCAGCAGATAGTGTCGCCACATAAAACATTCCTTTGCATAGTGGCTTGCTGGTCTAGGAGTATGATTTTCGTTCATGCAATGAAAAATCCCAGATTCAAATTTCGGTTGAGCCCTTACAGTTGTCTGCTATTTTGTAAGGTCGTTGTGGCTTACACAGAGGCCTTTTTTTTGAGAATGCCAGTTCGTCAGCAGATAGTGTTGCCATATAAAGTTGCTGTTTTGCAGTGGCTCGGTCGTCTAGGGGTATGATTCTCACTTAGGGTGCCCTTGATTCGTTAGGGAAAGATTTCTGACTATCTGACGCCTTGTGAAATTCTCTCAATTTAGTGGTTCATTGGTCTATCTGAATGATTCTCGCTTCGATTGCGAGAGGACCCGGGTTCAATTCTCGGATGAGCCCTTGCAGGTGTACTGTGTTTTACAGGGCATTATATCTTTCGTAAAAACGTCTTTCAAAGAATTCCAATTTGTCAG